GACAGTATGCACTACACAGCGCAGTACTTGGATGAAGATTTTTTATTCAACAACAGTACCATGGATACAAAGTTGAACACTTTACAAGATTCAAGATCACTCAGTATAAGATTTTTTCAGTCAATAACAAAGACAACACCTACTTGGATATAACAAAGTACTCATACTCTAAGTGCTTCTCGGTAGGTACTTTTCTACCGATGCACCTGGATCCAAGGAAAGAGTCATGCATCTGGGTAGATAACAGAAGTGCAGTGTGTCCTAGCCTAGAACTTTGGGTAGACTGTCCGGCTATGAACATTTGTTGGTTGCCTACCCTTGGGAGCATAGCTACTACAATAGGAAGCATGTAGGCTAGTATGTAGGATGAGCTACTCGCACATCTTGCCACCCAGCCGACGCCATCTGTACACATTCGGGACCAAGTATGACCCTTCATGGATAGACGTCGACAAGCACCCTAGAAGAACTGACATGGGACTACTAGATGTGCTACCCCACCAGCTATCACAAGATTTCTTCTAGTTGCAGATCTAGACTACTCTATTGTGCACAACTGTGGGTTTAGCCTACCTCTAAACCCTCTCACAAGAATTCTTCTAGTCACTATAGCTCTTGGCTATGCCAACCGAGTACTCCTGGGGGCTGGTCTACTTTGCTCACCACCATATTTGCAAGCTACAAACTCTTAGCCACATCGCTTCTTCTACAACTGAGGTTCAAGTGCTCGCCAGGGGGGGTTTATAGGCGTTTTGACGACGTCTATAGATTAGGTTCATGCGGAATACACAGACAAACTACGGACTCCTACATAGGTTCATGTGCTACACTACGAGAATACAATGCGTCCCCCTACACCTTTTTAGTATACAGGCAGCCTTTTCCCAGCACATGTGAAGTTATAGTACACCCGGTAGCATCTTTGATGGCATATTCTCATGGATATACTGAGCATCTTTGGACCAACAGTACTAAAGCTTTGCATGTGACTTCGATAGGTCCTTCCTGCTTCTGTACAAGCAGACAGGGCAATAATTTTCATTAGCACTCTCATCCTCGAGTATATTCTTTTTAGATTCTTGTTTTGAGTACAAGTACCCAGACATAGGCTCAGGGCTGTAGGGTACATATCCTCTACGTATGTTTTTTTTCTTTTAGACCATCTAACTCTTTGTTTTGCAAATAGCAAGAGGCTCGGGGGCTACACTCAGTAAGTGCACTTTTCTGAAAAGTGCACGTCACCCAGAGGCTTTACAGAACACCTCATGGCTTCACTCACGAAAGCACTCGGATTACACTTGTTTCTACTCGGCAAGACCAGGAGGAACAAGAAGGCTTCTAAGTTCAACCATGACACGCTCGGGGGCTTGACAGACCAGGGTCCTGGGGGTTCCCCATGGGAGTTTTACATGGATGGGCCCTAGGATGGCCCACGATCTGTAGAAGGACGCGAGACAAGGTGGCGTGGACTTCAAGCTATGCTAGATCAACTTAGTCGGCTTACTATGAAAGCTAGATTCTATAATAGGACTAGGACTTTTCTCTTATAACCGACTAGGACTAGATACGTGCCCTTACCCTCTCCTCTATATAAAGAGATGTACGACGTACCCCCTTGTAACCCTAATAATCATACAATCAATCTAACGCAAAAGGCAACACGCCGACTAGACGTAAAGGCTATTACTCGATAAGAGGGCTTGAACCAGTATAAATCGTTCATCTCTTTGCGTTTACTGTCGAGTTCTGCGTACGCCGAAGCCCTTCGAACATCGTCCCGGGTAGCCCCGTGATGAGTTGCCGGTCATCAAACACAGACAACCACGTCTTCTGCAGCAACTGTGCTCCATCCACCTGTCGAGGTCCGTGCCGCTGATGAGCTTCGCACTAGCGACCTCCGCGCCACTCCGTGGCATCAAGCTCCACACCGACATCGAGCTCTGTATGTTTCATGCGTTTCAGATGTATGTTTCATCTGGATGTTGCATGTGTTTCATCTCGATGTTGCAAAAGTAGATCTGGTCTTGCATATGTTGTAATAACTATACACATAAATGTTTCAGAATTTCGGACGTATGTTGCAAGTGTTTTATCTGGATGTTGCATATGCTACAGTAGCTATACATGTATGTTGCAAGCGCATGTTCTAAATGTTTCACCTGCTTCAGACGTATGTTGTAGCAAATGCTTCATGTTGCAAGTGTTTTCATTAGCAGGCATGGGAAGCGAGCGTAGGCGGAGGCAGTCATAGGCGGTCCCCATGTGGATGGGGCAAGCGAAGCGGGCGTGGTCGGTCCCCACGTGCATGCGCAACAGCAGGCAGGTAGGCGCAGGTGTAGCAGCATAGCAGCAACAGGCGGCCATGCATAGCAGCAACAATAAGCATGGGTAGGTGGGGCAGGTGTAGTAGGCGAGGCAGGCGCGGGCGTCAGACGGGAGCTAGTGTCTGGACGTCCGGGCGCTAACCATGCCATATAATCTGAGGTGTTTATCACTTGAGATTATATAAGTTGTGTATGTCCATTTCAGGTAGTAACCAAAGGGCAAGTGTATCTAAAGAAATAGAAGTAAAAAATGAAAGAACGCAATAACCTAATTTTGTGCAGGTCATACTCTTCTTATACATGTTGTTTTTCTTCATTTCTCAATTAAGAAAAAGATCTCAGACAGTATAGACGTGTTTGGTTCTCTCGTGGAGCTGCCTGGGCCAGGCAGCACTCCCAGGCATCCCATTTCAGTCACCTAGGGCCAGGACCGCATGCCTGGTAGACATCTGCCTAGGAGGTCGTGAACCATCTTCCAATCTTTTGACACTTGAAAAAATCTAGCCCCCCTCCCTCGCACAAAAAAATACGCGTAGCACACGTCCGTGTATCCTCCTCACGCCAGGTTTCCCGGGCTTTCTTTTCCCTCACACCGGCACGGGCGCAGGAGTGCGTCCACACGTGCACATCATTGGGAGACAGCGATGGGATTGCGGAGCAGGTCGAGCTTGGTGACCATGAGCAGCGCGCGTGAGAGGTCAGCCAGGGCTTGTGATTCCAGTCCACACGGTGGGCCTAGCCGACTGTGGCCACCAACCGCGCGACTGCACGCGGGAACGAGTGGTTGAAGTCAGTGGGTTGAAGTCAGAGGCATCCGCCAGGAGCAGCATGAGCGACCTTGGCCTGGAAGGCGACACGAGGCGCGGGCAGACGACGGTAATAAAGTCGAAGTCGAAGCAAAGTTTAATTTTTTTATATTTTAGGAGTTAGTTTTTGAAAAGTGTTGGAGAGATTCTTCTTTGCTACTCCTATTTATTTTTGGCAACTTGAAAACTTAAGGATTTTGAGAACTAAATTTTGGGAACTCATGGAGATGCTCTTGATCGCTTATTGGTATTCTAGGGCTTGTTTGATTATCTAGACAAGGGTGGCTCATGTGGCTGGCCAAAGACCAGCTGGATTGGTACTTGCTCATCAGGGTGCAACTACTCCTGTTTGTTTTTGTGCACGAAACTAAGCCAGGCTGAGGATCGGACATTGTTTGGTAGGCTGCACAAGCGAATATGGTTACCCTGCATCAACTCATGGGTAGAGTTACCCCTTTCTTCTTCTCAGCACCTACTACTTTTCTTCTAAGGCATTTGCACAAACACCTTGCATACATGGACTTCAGCCAGTGAGCGCTCGCTGCCACGACTGCGTCGAGGTGCCTAGGCCGCCGCCATGTCTCTGCCGAGGGCTGCTCATTGGGGAAGAGGTTGAAGCTGTCTATGTTCAAGGGAGAAGCCCTTGCCGAGGGAGGAGGCCTACACGAAGAAGCGCTCTGCAGGGGACACCGCGGTCCGTGAGCATGCGGAGGGCGCTTGATACGAATCCATGGGGGAGGACGGCGGGGAAGAGGTGATCGAGGTCAGCCTCGAGGCTTTTGGCGCCTGCAGTGGCGCAGCCCCGTGGTAGCCTTGTCAGACCATGTCGCCGCGTTCGTGTCACCACCATGGAGGATGGAGGCGTCGAGCATGGAGATGGCATGGTGACGCATGAGCGTGAGGAGCTTAGGTCAGCGTGGTGAGCACCATCTGCTCACACGCCTGTTGGCGGCGCTGCGCAACCCATTGTTGCACGATTATCCTAGAGGCCGCGGCGAAGCTCGCCACGGCTAGGCCCCGCGTGGACAAAGCGTGAGCTCCTCAACCGCGGGATCCGCCTTGGACACGCCGATGACCCTCGGCGGAGCGCTCACGTCGTCCTGCGTCGGCTTCCCGATGGCAGCGGCGTTGCCCATGGCGAGGTAGGGAGGGGGCGACTCGGGCTTCGGAAGATTGCGAACCGGAGGTGACGGCAATGCCCGCTCGTGGATACAGCGAGCCTGGCTCCGCAAAAATGAAAATCTCCGGATGCAGCATCTTCACTGCTTTAAAGAGAGTGTGGGGCTGGCTCGCGGGCTGAGTCAGGCAATCAAACACCTAGTTGCACCTATTGGACATAGCTAGCCATTTGGGCCTCATTTAGATTGCAAATTTTTTCACTCTCTCTCCATCACATCAAATCTTTGGACACATGCATGGAGTATTAAATGTAGATAAAAAATAACTAATTACACAATTTGATTGTAAATTATGAGATAAATCTTTTGAGCCTAGTTAGCCATAATTGGACAATAATTATCAAATACAAACGAAAATGCTATAGTACCAAATACTGATTCCTACCAACCGTTGTCCCGGCGATCAAACAGGTCATAGAATTTGTGCACTTAAATCCTATGGTCTGACAGGCCGAAATTTTGTGAAACAAGAAAGATCCGGGGTCCTGACATGCAAAATCCGACGTCCCATTTCGGCCCAACCTTCCCTCTCGTTCTCCGCCTCCGGCTCCGGCCACGCACCTCTCGAGTCACCCGGGACAAACGCTACGCAAAATCAACGAACGCCCAGCGCCCAGTCAAACACTCCGACCCCTTCTCCTCCCTCCCCACCTCGCCGCCTCCCAGGACCCCGCCCCGATCCCGCCGAACCCATGGCGTCGGAGATCGAGGTGCTCGAGGACACCACCACCTCCTCGACCTCCCTCGTCGCGGCCGCGTCCACGGCCCCTTCCGCCGCGGAGGGCGCGGGGGCGCCGGCGGAGGACGAGTCGCTGAAGAACGACGTGTACACCGCGGCGGCGTACGGCGATCTGGAGAAGCTGCAGCGGCTGGTGGAGGGGGAGGGCCGTCCGGTCACCGAGCCCGACGGCGGGGGCTACCACGTGCTCCAGTGGGCCGCGCTCAATAACCGCGTCGCCGCCGCGCAGTACATCCTCGAGGTTGCCCTCTCCCCCCGCTCCCGCGCCCCCTCCAACGCCTCGCAATTTGGCCTTTTATTTATAGTCGCTCGCTTTGCGTTGCTATTGGGGGATTTAGGGTACGTTACAGTAGGCTGCGTAGCGATGCAATGCACTTTCTGAGCTGGAATTTTGTGTGCCAGAACCGTGGGCTGCTTGTTTAATTGCGCGAAGGAGCTATGCACCTTCCGTGGTCATCATTCTGGTCAGTTTCTATGGCCGAGGATCCTTGTTTGTGAACAAAGTGTGCAGCTGCGAGCTGAATGCTTTGCCGTGGTGGTGGGTTTGGAATTTCCGAGCTGGTTTATGTGGAGGGATTTGGATGGGTGTAGGTTGTTAGTACATCTGGATCAAATTTACCTGCTGATAGTTGCAACAGGGCAGTTCAGGAAGAATGTAGATGGCTTTGCGGTGTCAACTAGCTACTTCTATTTATGTCTTCAACCATTTCAATTGAGATCAAATGTGTAAATGGTATGCTTAGGATACAGTCTAGACCAAGATGATTACTACTCATGATATGCCTTTTATTGCATGAATGCATTATCTCACACAATACACATGTTGTGATGCTGCGTAGTATTTTGTATCTTGATGTCTTAGTAGGTATCGCTTTGTTATTCTGATCAGGTGGCTGTGGTTGAAAGGCATATTAGCTACTTTTGGTTGATGAATGTTGTTGATTGAATTTTCTTGGTTCCCTTTGGTGACGATTTCGTGCTTGTATTTGAATAGCATGGAGCAGACATAAATGCTGTGGATCACACTGGACAAACAGCACTTCACTGGAGTGCTGTACGTGGTCATATTCAAGTTGCCGAACTACTCCTGAAAGAAGGAGCTAAGGTGGATGCTGCTGATTTATATGGGTATCAGGTCTGTATTCTCTTCCCTGCTGTTTCTTTGCCTCTTTGGTCCTTGTTGTGCCTGTCTCCACTTTAAGCTGCCTATCTTTCGTTGACAACCGGTAGCCAACTAAAGCAGTTTTGGATGTATATCTGCAGCTGACCAATTATATCCACTTTACCAGGTCAGAGGTTAATAGTAGACTAAAAACATACTTTGGTCATGTGATTGTTCTGCGTTAGGGGAAAAAAGAATCACTGAAGTTGATTATGCAGAGAATTTGCCGCAGTTCTTTAAGTCAATATGCTTCTGTGTTCAGGCCACACATGTTGCAGCACAGTATGGTCAGACTGCATTCATTTACCACATTGTCGCGAAATGGAATGCTGATCCAGATATCCCTGATAATGATGGAAGGAGCCCTTTACACTGGTTTGTACTTGTGTTATATGTTTCTCATTTGCCTCCCTGTAATTTCTGCTTGTGCACTTTGTAACATACTGCCCTGCTGAATTTTAACATTTTGCTGCTTATTTCTCTCTCTGTTTTTACGTATTCCCTTCTAGGGCTGCTTATAAGGGATTTGCAGACTCCATACGGCTTCTTTTGTTTTTGGATGCTTATAGGGGACGGCAAGACAAAGAAGGCATGTGTAAATTTATCTCATGCCTATATTATTTATAATCATTCCTTTGGTAATTATATCAGCTTATTTGGTTGCTGTTCCTTTTAACTGCAAATGCTACTCTTAGGTTGTACTCCTTTACATTGGGCTGCTATTCGGGGGAACCTTGAGGCATGCACTGTCTTAGTTCAGGTTGGCAAAAAGGATGATTTGATGGTGAAAGACAAAACTGGATTAACTCCAGCACAGCTTGCTGCCGATAAGAATCATCGGCAAGTTGCATTTTTCCTCGTGAGTAAAATTAACCATGACATTTATATTTCGTAATCTACTTGAAGTCCTGTTTCTGCAGCGTCGTAAGAGTCAAGAGTCCCAATGTCCTAGCATTACCATCTGATAGGTATTATGGCAGCAAGTTTCTTACTATGGTTTTGCATGCAGACATGTTATAACCACAAAACATTTAGTCTTAAGCAAATTGGGGTAGGCTTTAGATGAAACCTGACATGAGACACATGAACTAAAAGAGCAAGAAAGTAATGAAATAAAATGGTAATATAACACTAGACTACTAGCTGCTAATGATTGTTGTAAAGGATGCTCTATTTTTAAGTTTTGATTGTGGCACATGGATTGCTAATATACAGACATGTTACTGTTAAGGATTAATTGTTTGGATCGTCGTATGTTTTCTATGCCTGTTTCCCTCTAAATTACTGTTAACCGGTTAGGAGCATTATAACATGCTGTCTAATCTGTTTAGTGGTAATTTTCCTCTGAATTTTAAAGTAAGAACTAGATGTTAAAATACTGAAACAGAGGTAACCAAGGAGGAAAATGATTTGGTTTAGTTTGACCTGGCACCTTTCTAATGTTTAAGTAAGAACTAGATGTTAACTTCTTAATGATCAGTTAATGACTTGTGATTGCTCTTGTTAAATGGTTACCTTCTATTTACCACTTAAGCTGGATAAGAGGATAAGATTGACCATGAGCTGAAATGTCCTTCCATTTGCTTACTTGTGTTACCAATATTTTTCAGGACAATGCTAGAAGGGTACACGACAGAGGATGTGGTGCGAACACCAGATTTGGGAAATTGTCAAAATTAGGGCTTTCTCCTCTTCTTTGGTGCACCATTATTGGCATGCTTATTACATATATACACTCTGTTATATCAGGTAAATTGAGTAGCATCTTTATGTTTTTTCACTGTCTTGATCTTCTGTAATATGTTATTGCTGGTCTCATCAGGACAATATGCCATGACTATGACAGCACCATTTGGGATATTTGCATGGTCAGGAGTTTTTCTTGCAACTGCTGGGTTGGTCATGTTCTATAAATGTAGCAGGTATTTCTAAAAATTTGCATTCTGTTGATAGTTATAAATAGGTCAAACCAGACATGAGGGCATTGATCGCCAGTTACTACTTCCTCTGATCACATATGTAAGTTGATCTAGGTTTGTCCTAAGTCAAACTAGTTTAACTTTGACCACCAATATCTAAAATCTTATGTACATTGACAATTCTAGATTCATTATGTAAAATACTTGGATAAACCTCTTTTCATTTAATATAATACATTTTGTGTAGATATTGCTAGTCGAACTTTTTTTAACTTAGGACAAACCTAGATGGACTTTATATTTCCGATCGGAGGAACTACTTATTACTTCTTGGTAATATTGTGGGTCTGTGATTTTCTTTTTTTTGGTATTTTGTTAAACTCTCTAAAAAAACTCACCTGCGGGGGGTATGACGCCCCCCGGGCATTTTTTTTAAGAAGAAGGATTATCTTCTCACACAGATCGAGAAAACCTTGAACCCCCGCCCCATCCTGACGCAGCGGAATCCATTGCCCTGTGAGAACCGGGCCAGGCCGTTCTGCGCTTTGGCTTATGGGGACGGGCGAAGGGATTTTTTTTACCCCCAGCCTGAAATTCGCTCCCACGGGGAGTCGAACTCGGGACCTGAGGGGTGCTGCCGGAATTCCCTAACCACTTGGGCTAGAGTCCTTTGGCTTTGTTAAACTCTCTCAGATTATGCACCTTGTGGAGCGGAAAATTAAAACTTTGTGTGATATATCTTAAACCCATTTTTAGTAGCTGACTGTTTGATCAACTCTTGCATGCTCAGATAGACACCAAATTATTTAAATCATTATATCACTTTTAATAGAAGGGCAGGCCTGGTGCAGTGGTGAGAGCTGTCTCACGGAGTCACCAGGTCATGGGTTCGAAGCAGCCTCTCCGCAGATTTTGCGGGGGGGGAAGGCTTGCCTCGGTTTTTCCCTTCCCCAGACCCCACTCATGTGGGAGCCTCCGCACTGGGTCTCCCGTATATCACTTTTAATAACAAATATCTATTGTTTTGTCGTATAATTATCCCGCTACTTTCATATCACGCACAAGATATAGATATATAGGCAGCCTTTATCATTCAACACCATCATGACATTGACAATTGCTTTATGCAGGAAAGATCCAGGTTACATCAACATAAATACAAGGGGCTCGCAAAATCAAAGGGATGATGTAAGTTTAAAATATAAGTACTCATTAATTATTGTAGTTTCCTGCATGTAATTTTATCTTCTGATTGAACTTTGGTTCTTTTAGCTTGATGCAATTCCAAACTTCAAAAGTCAAAACATAATCCCAAATTTTGCTGTCTAAATCATGCGCATTTGTTCGTTCAGGAACCGTTGCTGAAGATGGAGTTAGAAAATCCTGCACTTGTTTCTGGCAACTGGTCACAACTTTGTATAACATGCAAAGTAAGTCACTCGATTGAGCAATTCAGTTGTCTCTCTCCTTGATTGTTATTCTCATGGATCAGATTTCCTAACATCTTCATTTCAGATAGTCAGACCTGTTCGTTCGAAACATTGTTCTACATGTGATCGTTGCGTGGAGCAGTTTGACCACCACTGCCCTTGGGTATCTAATTGCATAGGAAAGGTACATGTTTCTGTTGTGATTTCGTATTTATGTAGTTGTGATTTAATGTATCTGCCTTCTGCCCTTCTGTATTGTATTTGAGTTAAGATACTCAAGCAACAAATCCTGAAAGCTTGCCACCAACGTATAATCAACAATGAAATTTGATAAAAGTTGACATAAATATCATGGTACTCTCTCTCTCTCTCTCTCTGAGAATCTTACTGAATTATGGCATAAATATCATGTAACATTAGAAAGAGAATTATGGCCTTTAAAATAATTCATTGTTTCTTCAATGTGAGTGTGTTCTTTCATCTGGTCTATTTGTGAACTGTAACTGCAGAAGAACAAATGGGAATTCTTCATGTTCCTCACTCTAGAAGTTTTGGCAATGATCATTACTGGCTCAGCTGCCATTATAAGTAATGCCTTGAGTCCTTTATCCTAATTATTACATTGGAAGTTCTTGTTGCTTCATTGCTGTTTTTGTTGCAGGAATTGTAAGGGATCCAGATTCCCCATCATCCTTTGGTGCTTGGATTCATTATTCTGCATTCCAGCATCCTGGGGTGGTATCATTTCTCACACTAGATTGTTTCCTTTTCTTTGGCGTTGCAGTTCTTACAGTTGTTCAAGCATCGCAGGTAAAGTTTTTTTTTTTGAATTTATATTTCTTTTACAGAGAAACTTGGTTAGCTTTTATGGAGTGATTTTATATTGTTTGTAAAACTGTAAATATTGTTTGATCACTAACTGGAACATCAACTTTGATTAGACACCACGAACTTGTAAGGAACTGGTACTGCAGCCATTTGTGTTTACCATTGAAATCTTTGAAGCCTTGTTGGATTTGTTGTATTGTTTATGCCATTTTCAGCCTTTTCATGATTCCTAAGTGTATGGCTTCTGATAGTATACACTAACATCTAGTACTGATCGTGGTTTCGAACTCTAGAATATCAAGAATAAAACTGCTATGTTATTTCGGATTCATTATGAAATAATGAAGGTTAGGAATCCGGTTTGCTTTCTGTGAGGTTTCTGTGTAGGATGTTGCCTTCCATCCTATAGCTATCCATTCCATCATTCCATTATACATGAAAGGCATACCTGCACTGTGCTCATGCCTTGCTTCCATCTCACTTGCAGATAGCAAGGAACATTACAACAAATGAGATGGCAAATTCCATGAGATATGCATATCTCAGAGGCCCAGGTGGCAGATTCAGGAACCCGTATGATCATGGGATTCGCAAGAACTGCTCTGACTTCTTGTTAAATGGATACAATGAGGACACTGAACGGCTAGACCAGACATTGCACACCGATGAGGAAATGGGGATGCTGCAGATGACAAGTGCAGTTTCGCAGAATGGTGACAATCATTTACATCATGGTAATGGCACCGACCATAGTTGCGCTGATTCTCAGGCAAACTCAAAACCTCATAGCCAAGTGGGTTCGTCTCAGTGTTGTGATCACAGTAAGAGGACTGATAGGACACCGTTGGGCCTAGGATTGGGCCTTGGGCGAAACAGTGCATCCCGGCAGTATGTTCGATCTCTTATCCCATTGTGATCCATCATTTGCATATCATGTGTTCGTTTCACTGTAGATTGGATTTGTTCACTGCTCCGGCTCCATCTTCTGTTATACGTGCCCTTGACATGGTTCACCATGTGGCATTGGCTGGGCAGGGTTAGCATTGTTGGGCCATTAGCTCTGGAATATTCAGATATACCTAGTGTTGTAGTTTGCGGTGAACTCAGAGAAGTTGAAGGTAACAGCTTGGCTTGCGAATATCAGCTGATCTGCAGTCGGGAAATATCAGAGAGCTTGTGCACAAAAGGTAACAATTATGGGCTTACGACAGATGCAGTAGCATGAGATGTCTTCATAATTGTTGTGTACATCAGGTTCGGTGGTACCTCCATTGTTTAGCATGATACGAGTTTGGAAAAAGTAACTGTAAATCGAGAAAATTGTAAATTGATTAGTAAGCACACTGCAGCACTAGCTGTTTTCACACTTTTCATTCATTTTTGGGTCTGGTTATTGTTATGAACCACGGAAAGAATTTTTGGTTTTCCGTTATGGGTACCTGAGTTATAGTTGGTCTGGTTATGGTACTGGTGGTGCATGATCGTGAGTGCTTCAGAGTTTAGGATATTGTTGTTATGAAGCATGTTAGACACTGACAGTAAAGATTGATGCAAAGGAAGTTGTATGGTAAATAGTTGTACTTTGCCATGTTACCGTGGCATGACTAATCACTTCTAGCGTGGGTTCTACTCTAGGCTCTAGCTTACATCAAATTGCTTGGTACAAAAGGCACCTTCATTATTGTTAATTTTTTCAAAGCTATTGTTATTCACTTATTCTTCACCTGGCATTCGCTCGTTTCTATGAATTTCTAATCAACACCTTGATGTTCATATATTGATAGTTTAGTGTTGTTTACAAATTGCTGTGCATCGATTGTATTCGGGCAACGCCTGCGAATGCGTCTAGTGAAACCAGTATATAGCATCATTTTATAGAATTACAGTGGATTGACTTAGAAGGGTGGGCCTGGTGCAAGTGGTAGAATTTTATCGCCTGTGATCGGAAGGTTTGGGTTTGAATCGTGGTCTTCTCGCATTGCATAGGTGAGGGTAAGGCTTGTCACTAACAGATCCCGTAAAGAGCGGGAGTTTTCTACACTAGGTACGCCCTTTTATAGTGAATTGACCTAGTGGTGAAAAATTGAATCCAATGGAGTAAGACATGTAAATTCTCGTGGTGGTGAAAAATCAAATCGAACGGAATAATAAAGACATTTAACCGACTAGTATAATATCTGTGCTAACGTTATAGTTTTATCTTGGGAATCCACATGAAAACAATCAATAATTTTTTTATAATTCAACTTTTACACAATTGTATTTGAGCATGTTTACGATCCGAGAAATACATTTGTATAAGAAGGCATAATAAAGTTATTTCTCATATTAACCATCTAAGTTATATTCTGCCTAAGTCCTTAATCATGACTTGGAGATCTTTAAGGAAGCTGTCAAAACATTCGTTTGCACGGCTTTTCAAAATGTTCGCCAAGAATTCCATCCTTGGTGAAGTTGATAGCTGTACATGGCAGATAATAAGCTAAATTATTAATTTCCTCGTCGTAACAACTTCTAACACCTGTCATTCATAAATCGTACCCATCAGTAAAACTCGCAAAGAGCAAGCAATGGCAGCGGCGATCCTGGTGCTGCAGGTCGGGCATCTAGCAGGCGCCCGCCTCCACCATAAATCAAGTAATGTAGTCCTAAAAATTATGGACCAGTCTAAAAATCATTTTTCAGTAGTGTTTAATGATTAGATTAGTATTAGCAATTGTTTATAGCTAAACTCTAAGACAGAATCTATAACCAGTATCAGACAGAGCACATGACTGGAACTTCAAAGCATGAAAGTCAAGGAGGACCACATAGTAGGATATTAAAAAACATGCAAGGGAGGTATATCTTTTTCCTCTTTCCTTCTACTTATTTTTCTTTTATATAGACAGACCCCAAAAGTGAGTACTGATATGTAACTCAAGCATTCATCGTAGTCATGCAATGAAAATTCAGAACAATTAGAACAAACTAGGATTATTGATCATGGGATAGTTACTCTTGTCCCATCTAAATACTGAACTTTTGGTTTCGGTAAATTGAGTTGTATATAGAATTCTATAGTACCTCAGTTCACAAATAAAAGGAATTCTGACATTTGCAACACATGAATAATATTTAGTATTTTTTATATCAGTCAAGTTGCAGTGTTGCACACCGGCACGGTACATATTGATCTAGAATGAAAAAAATATTGTTGACATCTAATCCATTAGATGGTGGAAAAAAGAAGTGACTTCTGATATGAAAAAACTTGAGGAAGAAAAAGGCTCCATATTTACGAAGAAACTTTATTTGAACTCAATGCAATTTTTTTTTGCATATTATCATATTCTAGCACATGACTAAAACTGAAACTAAAACCAGAGAGAGCACATGTTTTCTAGTTTTTTTTAGTAGTAATATAGTGTGTTAACTGCAGGCCATGCTGCCAGGGTCAAGCCTTCAAGCTCCTTTGGTTCGCTACTAATTTTTGCAACTTTTCACTCCCAGAGTTTTTAGAACAAATGCAGAGTATTTGTCACATTGGAAATCGTTCATGGCATATCTGAGATGTGGCCGGCCAGATCTTCTGCCGGCTAGTCCGTAGATGCAGCCGGGCCGCCCGAGTTTAGTGGCCTGATGTGCGTTCGTCGCGGCGCCGGGGTTATGGCCGGCCGGCCGGCAGTAGCGACGGGCAGCAGGGTTTCCTCACCACGTCCGACAAACTGAGGCAATATAGCAATGAAAGCGTGCCGTCGTTCAGGCAGATATTGTGCGACGACGCGAGGTCGGTGCTCTGAGTAGCAAGATGCTATTGCAAATTGCAGTGGCTAAGATTCATGGCATATCTGAGAGATTTGCACTTATAATTAAGTACCTGGGCAATGTCGCCAACGGTCACATGGATCTCGCCGTCGTTCAGACCCAGCTCATCAGGCACCGCGGCTTCCTCCTCCCCTCCGCGAAGGGTGTGGGCGCGGGCGATCGGCGGCGCCGCGCCACGACATACGGGCACTGCGGCTTCCTCCTCCCCTCCGCGAAGGGCGTGGGCGCCTACGGGCACCGCGGCTTCCTCCTCCTCTCCACGAAGGGTGTGGGCGTGGGCGTGGGCGTGGGCGCGATCGAAATGTTTCAACGTCGAACGAGCGCGGCGGCGGCCCGGAAGGTTTTGAACGCGTTTTTTTTATTCGGTGATGATTGGCTTCGAGCGTTAAATCGCAGTCACGGCGGGTCGCGACGTATGGTTAAAGGCATGTTATTATCTAAAATATGAAGAAGGGTGGCCTTGGTATACCAGTCCTGTATGAATAGGTCCCCTGTATATTTTATATGCTACATCTGTACTATAATTTGTCATTAAAAATATATTAGGTAGTTAACAGCTATATTGTTTGAATAGGTCCCCAGTATATTTTATCATAACTTCAGAAAATTAAAAAAGATTGACAACAAACATGAAAATGATGAAATATGGTTATCCTCTCTGTTTTTAGCTAGAACTAAAATATTATAAGAACATGTGAATTGTAGGCATATAGTTGGCACTTAGTTTACAACAAAAAAACATTTTTTTACTGGTTCCTAACATATCTACAGCTCCATCACAAGAATCATTTTCAAGATAAAATTTTAACATATAACATCCATTCACCAAACTCAGAGATTATAAACCTGACTGCTATCATAATTCCTAAGTACAAAAGACATATGTCACCAAAAAAACTCCGAAAAGAAAGAGGAATACTTACAATGTTTAAAGAAATGCTCGTGAGACAGACTCTCAAGGCTTTATTTTCTAAGTCTAACATGATATTTTGCTGTCCGAGAAAATCCATTTAAGCAGTTACTTCTATCCCATATGTCTGCAATCATAAAAATTTAAGAATTATATAGGATGTTTAAGGTTTCTAACTCATGCAACAAACGACTAATATGGTTGGTTTCGGGAAAAAAAGAATTACCTGTAAGGGCTGAACTCTTCTCTCGAGCTATGCAATATACTGGAGCAGGTCGTCCAGCCACGACGGCGTCTTGGGCTCGTTGAGAAGGTCGTCCGGCGACGATGGCTACTCGTCTGCGAGAGGAAGCTCTCGGACGACGTGCGCTGGTAGTAGTCACATGCGGTGAGTGCGCGATCTCACAGCCACGCTGATCGGGCTGAGCTCGGCGTGTGGTGGTGCAGCGCCGCTTACGAGATCAGTTCAGCGGAGAAGCAACGCCTGCTTCTGCAGCCTCCCGTTCGCCATGATGGCATTGGCGTGCTCACCCAATCTGGACAGAGAAATTGTGATAGAAAATGATGAGAAAAAATCCCCAAGATTTGAGAAACCATAGCAATTAAACTACCTCTCTGAAAAGCTAAAATTCAGGCGGGATTGTTGCATTGACCACAGATCTCGTCCAAGAATCACAATATGTGCCAAAAATCGAAAACTTACGGCAAATTCGCATCAAGGACCTTTCTCATCCTCCTCGTCGCGCTCCACTCCCCTTCCGTCGTCGTGCGGCCCTGCATGGCTGTACGCCCGATGCCACGGCGGTTGCTCCTCCACAGCCCGGCCGAGCCAAGATTGCGCAGCAGCGCGGCGCCCATCGCGCGCGCCGCGTAGGCCCCAAGCCCGGCCGGCTCGCATCGGGAGAGAGGGAGACAGAGATGCGCGCGAGGCGTGAGTAAATGGCTAGCAGCCGCCGGGGCCCGTCCGCGTCGGAGGGCGGCCACCATGGAGCTGGCGCCGCGCCCGCCGCCGCCACGTGCAACCCTAGAGCCCCATGACCAAAGCGCCGAGTTCCGTCTGTCCGTTAGCGTGCCTTGTTTTTTTTGGAAAAAAGGAATAAGATCGGGGAGGTGGGAATCGAACGCAGCGGCGTTTCATTTTTTGGTGTTCCTAGGCCCGATCTTCGGTCGCGGCGTGCGTGGGGCGCGTTAAACGTGCATGGGAACTGGGGTGAAGCCTAGCTTCCCACATCGAATCGGGATCCGATTTGTGTAGGTGTTTTATTAGCCTTTGATTTTAATAGAGATGAATTCATATGTATATTTTTTTGGGTGCACAATGGTTGAATCCGGTGAGGATTTTGTAGGTGTTTTATTAGCTCTTAATTTTAATGTCGTAAATGATGTAAATTCTATGCATATTTTTTTGGATACATAATGGTTAAAGGACTTCTCGAACCAAAGGACGAAACGAAGCCACCAGCCAACCGAGAGACTAATATAATTTTGATTCATCTAGTACAGATCATAGAAATGTAGCGAGATAAAAAGCGTCGGAGAAAAAAAAAACAGAGAAAAGACAAACATTTCAAAAAGTGGGAGAAAAGATGTTTGGGCTCGGCAGTACCCGGTTCAGCAGCTGCCTCGCGCAACCCGACCCACCTCACACGGCCAACCAAACTGACCTACCTGGAAAACCCCCGACCCCCGTTCCCCGCCTCCCGCCGCCGCTCTGCCTCCCAAACCCACTCTAAAACCCTCGCCGCCGGCGCGCCCGCCTCCTCTCCTGCTTTGCCAAACCCTAGAAAAAGCAGCGGCGACAGGAGTGGCTGCAGCCGCCGCCGGGGGAGGGGCTCCACGACCGGAGAGGAAAGGGAGAGAGGATGGGGATCTTCGAGCCGTTCCGTGCGATCGGCTACATCACGGCGGGCGGCGTGCCCTTCTCCGTGCAGCGCCTCGGCACCGAGACCTTCGTCACTGTCAGCGTCGGCAAGGCCTTCCACGTCTATAACGTAAGTCGTCACTCTACAGCTCACCCCCGTCTGTTCTGCTGTTTGAAAAAAAATTCGACAAGGATTCGTGCGTCGAGGTGGCGTGGTTTGCTCTGCTGGAATTCAGTATCGTGAATAGTGAGAGCAATTGAATGTAGTAAATCACTAGAATCTGTTTTGAGCTGGTGCAGGGTTCAGAGTTTATTTACTGGTTGCTCCTAGTAGGGGATAAATGTAGTCAACCGAGCTGCGTGATTGTCATTTAAACCTTACTCTGCTCTGTTCCTATTACATGCCTCCTTTGCAACCGAATTTCATTCTAGAAGCTTGCGATACTCATTTTGCTTTTTCCCTTTCGTTCTGCAGTGTGCTAAGCTGAATTTGGTTCTTGCTGGTAAGCCTCTTATATTTCAGTTCATGTATTCTTTTTGATGTTCCTGTTTTTCTTGTCGTTTATGAGTTTCTTATGTTATCAAAGGACCCCAACTGCCCAAGAAGATCCGTGCTATTGCATGCTACAAGGATTATACATTTGCTGCTTATGGAAGTGATATTGCAGTTTTCAAAAGGACTGATCAGGTACGGAAATTGCTGTGCTACCATTACCTAAACTTTTGCTATCTGTCCGACATAAGTTATATTGCTCCCTTGGCTGTCCAAACTCATTCTTTACTAGAAGCCTTGTTCATTTTTTTTTCTGATTAGAAAGTATTCAAGATGTGCTATTATTATGTGAAATTAGAACTTTGGGATAATGCTGATCATCTATGAGCTTACAAAGGGAGATCTATACCTCACCATATATGCCCATCAACTGCTACTTGGACAAACCTTAAATGTATGTCTCCCACATTCTCTTTCAATCAGGTGGCTACTTGGATTAGACATGAAGAAAAGGTCAACATGCTATACCTGTTTGGAGAATATGTTCTAAGTGCAGATGCTAAAGGTAATGTATTCATGTGGGCCTTCAGAGGAGCAGAACCAAACACTGAACCAGTTGGAAGCATATCATTGGGAGACAAGTTCACCCCAACATGTATCATGCATCCTGATACTTACCTAAATAAGGTGCTTGAAGCTATCTGGAGTTTTGCTTCAGAAATAGTATTCATTCCGAACCTCGTCTGCATTCTGTTAACAAGTCTGTTTCTGCATCAGGTAATTGTTGGTAGCGAAGAAGGCCCCTTGCAGCTGTGGAATATCAGTACAAAAAAGAAACTGTATGATTTCAATGGTTGGAACTCACCGGTTCGGTGTTGTGTCTCTTCGCCTGCCCTGGATGTAGTTGCTGTCGGATGTTCTGATGGGTCAGTTCATGTTCATAATGTAAGATATGATGAAGAATTGATGTCTTTCAACCATCAGATTCGTGGTGCTGTGACTGCACTGTCATTTCGAACAGGTGATGTAATAATATATTGTAAAAAAAAAAAACTTTAGATAATGGAATTTTTATTAGTGTTTAGTCAACTACATTGTTACAAGAACAACAAAAATCCTTATTTTCGTTGTAACATGCTTGTCTCAAGCCCTAAACCGGTTCCTTGTCAAAATTTTAGTTAGTGTAGGTACCACCCAGTACCTGAGATCCAACTTAGCCAGTGTACCTACTAATTCCCTCTGTTCCAAATTATAAGCCTTTTTGGCTTTTCTAGGTACATAGATCTTGCTATACACCTAGATATATATTATGTCTAGATACATGGCAAAAGCAATGTACCTGGAAAAGCCAAAATGACTTATAATTTGGAACGGAGGGAGTATCATTTGATTATTTTGTTTTTTGACTGTTTGGAGCTTGAACAAGAATTTAAGGATAAAAGTTGTGTTGAAGAGTCCTCCCTAGTTTGAATCAACTTTTGCTGCTTTATTGACACTAAAATTTGTAAAATTATAGAGTCCACATTTGGGTTATTATGGAAACACATCTGGTTTTTCTTATCGCTGGGCAGATAACCAGATACTTTACTGACATCAATGTTTTATTTTTCTTTTTTTTGGTTATGATGTTTGACATTCCATTTTGGTAACACCAAAGTTGCACTATTGTAATGTTATACCACTTCTGTATCTCAGAATAGCTAAAGCGGTCTTTCCCAAATTTACCTTTTTTTCCAGATGGGCAACCCCTTTTGGCCTCTGGAGGTTCTTCAGGCGTTATCAGCATATGGAATCTTGAGAAGAGACGGCTGCATTCTGTGATTAGGGAGGCCCATGATGGTTCAATAGTTTCACTTCACTTTTTTGCGAACGAACCTATTCTGATGAGTTCAGCTGCTGATAATTCAATCAAAGTTAGTGCCTGTTTTTGGTTTTACTTCTCAGTTGCTGTATGGTAGAAAACTGCATGCACTGTCTACTTACCCAGCTTCACCAGCTGTCCAATCACTTGGAAGTTGCAAACCTTTGCATGCTTTATCTTCATAATGGTTCAGTAGTGCTGAAATTATGCAGGCCATTATGCCTCACATCGAGTAGTATTTTCTTGTATACAACAACAACAACAACAAAGCCTGTCAGTCCCAAGCAAGTTGGGGTAGGCTAGAGTTGAAACCCACCAAGAGCCCCTAGTCACGGTTCAGGCACTTCAATAGCTGCTAGTATTTTCTTGTATGTTTGCAATATTTCAATGTTAGCCTGGCTCGCCTTACATATTTTAATAGGGGCAGGGGCAACAAGAATCTTCTTTCTGACAACTAGCATCCAGCTTGATAGCCTGCTAATAAGTGCAGCTAACAAAATAGCTGGGAACAAATATACAATTCCCTTATCAATGTTACCTGTTAATGGCCTCGTTTAACTTTGAGGTCCTAATCTAATATGCTCTACCAGATGTGGATATTCGATAGTAATGATGGAGATGCTCGTCTGTTACGATTTCGAAGTGGTCACAGTGCTCCACCTAGGTGCATAAGGTGCAGCTTCCCTCCAATTTGTCTCTTGTCTTTTGCTTCCTGTCAGTTGTGCTTTTGCTGAGTCAACCTATTTTTGTTCTTAGATTCTATGGCAATGGAAAATGCATATTATCTGCTGGTCAAGATCGTGCATTTCGTCTTTTCTCAGTTATCCAGGTAACTAATTGCATCATAACTTTGTAATAATGCTTTTATAAGAATGCTTCAAATACCAGGCTGATTTGCTACTTTGCCTTTTTGAGGCAAAACTTAATATTCTCATTCTGTTTTAATTATCGTGAAGTAACTTTTCTTAACAGGATCAACAAAGTAGAGAGCTTTCTCAGTGGCATGTGGCAAAAAGAGCAAAAAGGCTAAGAGTAAAGGTGCAAATCTGGGGTTTATTCATTTATTACGTTCAATCCCCCTCCCCCCTCCCCCTGTTTGGGTGTTGAAAATTTTCTTTTTTCCTGCAGGAGGAAGAGATCAAGCTAAAACCAGTTGTTACATTTGACTGCGGTACTATTTTGGCTTCTTGCAAGTAGCAAAATTTCTTAATATATTATGCTAATATCGTTAAGAAAATTCACTGGTATCCAGGGGAGCCGGCGTGCCAATAGTGAAAATAGGATCATTCCAACATGTTGGAATGTTTAAAAGATTAATTACATAAATATATCATATACGTAGAACCTGCAGAAATTCAGTTCAGATTTCACCTTTGATATCAAGATTAAGAAAAGACAAGTGGAACTATATTAGCACATGATGACCAATGTCACACTTCATGTGAATTTGAAATTAGATTTTTGCAGGTTGTCTTAACTTTGTGTACTCGATACCTGATTCTTTTATGAAATTTCGGAAGATTGCAAAATGCTGAATTCGCTGATGGCAGCGCCAGAACCCCTGGATACAGAATCCACACATCATATAAATTCTGCTACTTTGCATAGCAAGTTTTTTTTTGGACCATATAACAGCAGGGGGTTTAAGATATATTTTTGTGTCGAGAAGTGTTACTGTTATCTAGATAATTGGTTGTAGAGTTATATTTCATCCAACGAACTGCATGACCTTCATCTCATTATATGATATATACTGTTACCAAAATGTGGATATTTTTGGAAATGGGCGGGAGGAGAGCAGTAGCTGAAATATAAGTTGCACAAGTAGGTAACTTAAACTAGGAAGCACCTTGGGCTGGCATATCATAGGACAAGCAATCTCAGTGTTGTAGCTTATTGCTGCTAAGGTTAGAGCTTCAGTTTAACAAAAATTGGTTGAAGTGACTTCTGATGCTATCCAGTACGGGCCTTCTAGTATCGTCTATCATGTTGTTTGAGATACCAGACACGGCAACGGCAGACATGTTTTCTAGCTCTCATGACATTGCAAATGCTACCTGAGAAATTGCTTCATGTGCGCTCTTAGCCATTTGCTTACTTTTTATGCAACAAACTTACTAAATTTGGTGATTATCTACAATAACTGCACAACCAATGCCACAGCAACGCCTTGCTATCACCTAACGGATTAAATTGTGCCTGAGATGTTAGTTATGCATCTTTGACCTGTAAGATATTTCACAGATCGGCATATCTTCTGTTTATATACCTGCCTATGCTATGCAAATCTGACCTTTAGACTGTCCTCTCTTTTTCAGCTGAGATACGCGCACGTGACTGGTGTAACGTTGTCACATGCCACATGGATACTCCACAGGCATATGTATGGCGTCTTCAGAACTTCGTTATTGGTGAACATGTTTTGACACCATCGTCAAGCACTGTGACACCGATTAAGGTAATGCTTGTTTTTGAAGTTTTGCATCTATGGAATTTCATTGTAGACTAGAAAATGTGATTCCTAAAATTCAAGTGCTATTATTTGCTTTTTGAAGCATCATTTTCTTTTTCTGACAGGCTTGTGTGATAAGTGCATGTGGTAATTTTACTATCTTGGGCACTGAAGGTGGTTGGATCGAAAAATTTAACCTTCAATCAGGGTTTAGTCGTGGTAGTTACATTGACACTTCGGTGGCAATGCAATGTGCACATGATGGTGAAGTTGTTGGGTTAGCTTGCGATGCCACAAATGGCGCTCTGATTAGTGCTGGATACCATGGTGATATTAAGGTATGACCCTCTCTGTTGTGCTGCAGTGTGCTTCTTGTTGTGAGCAGACATGAGCATTACGGTTATGGAGAACTGTGCTCTTCATTTTCTGTCATATCAACTAGTTAAATTGTTTCCTTGGCATTTCCATATTATCTTTCAAAATATTTTAACCCTACAATCAAGAATAACTGTGTATGATCCACCTGTTTTTTTTTAATTTACTCACTTTTAAACTTTTCTTTAAAAGTCTCAATGAAATTTCGGCCACAACATATTAACTATAAAATTGTGTATCTTGCAGGTATGGAATTTTAAAACTTGCAAGCTGAAATCCAGATTGGATGTTGGTAAATCTGTCACTAAAATTGCATTTCACCGGCCAAATGGTAGTATACTAGTGTTCAACATATTTGGTATTTCCCATGAGGAAGTTTTCAGACAACTAACAATTATTTGCTATTTATGGCAGGTCTTCTTGCTACCGTAGCAGGTGATATGGTACTTATATTGTTTGATACGGTGTCCATGAAAATGGTTCGTAGATTTGAAGGACATACAGACCGTATCACTGATCTGTGCTTCAGTGAGGATGGAAAATGGCTCATCTCGTCTAGCATGGATGGGACTCTTAGGATTTGGGACATCAGTTTAGCAAGGCAGATAGATGCAATGCATGTTGATGTATCTATAACATCTGTCTCTCTGTCTCCTAATATGGATGTGCTGGCAACCACTCATGTTGATCAAAATGGTGTCTACCTCTGGTAGAGTTCTGTTGCATCACCCTATGCTCAGCCTATTATACCCCACCCACGCATATCTCAATTTATTTTGTTGCTATATATAGTTCAGAAAAAATGAATCATGAGATTGGCCTTCCAGCTGGTGCAATTTCCACAAATATATTATTCATCTCACTTATAGCCAACGGAATAGTTTATCAGTACACTCTGTTTCAACATATGCACCGAATTAGAGTTGTGTGGCATAGCATGCAATTTTATACGCCGTTATGGGTCATGATATATAGTGTTCTTCCTGTTTTTTTTCATCTGTGGTCTCATACATGTGTTATAAATTTGACAGGGTTAATCAATCTTTATTCTCGGCCTCAACAAATACTGAAAATTATGGCAGTGGTAAACATGTACGGAATGTGTGTTTGCCAGCTGTTTCATCTACAGAGAGATCTGAGGAAGAACAAGTTCAGAATTCAGGAGAGTCATATAAGTCCAGTATTAAACCTTTTGTCATGATGGATCATCAAATACCCAATCTAGTCACCCTCTCCTTACTTCCAAAGAGTCAATGGCAAAGTTTGACAAATCTTGACATTATAAAGGTAATATGCTTGTCTTGGTTCTAGCTTTCAGGTTTCAACATTGCAAAGTTATGAACTATGTGGCCTATATTGCTTGCTTATAGCTTATATAAAAGAGCTTTATTGTGTTGAAAAACTAGATTAAAGTCCTAACCTTTGTATTATGTCTTTAGGTTCGCAATAAACCAATTGAGCCACCTAAGAAACCTGAGAAGGCACCTTTCTTCTTGCCTTCAGTTCCATCCCTTTCTGGGGAGATATTGTTTGAGCCCCCTGCCAGGACAGAAGAAACAGACATCAGTACCACTAAGAATACAAATCATAAGATGTCTGAGCTCTCCTCTCATTTCAGTCAGCTGTTGCAATCTTGTGGTGAAACAAAGAACTGTGAGTATTTACTATTATCTTTACTCATGTAAATTTTCCTTAGTGACACTTGTAAGGCTTAGCTTGTTAATCCTATAAAAAGTTGCTGCCACACTGTCATTATTGTTCAATCCATCTTTACTCAAGTATTTTTTCCTTAGTAACACTTGTAAGGCTTAGCATGTTAATCCTATGAAAGGTTGCTGCTGTACTGTCGTTATTCTTCAATCCCGTATATCTGATGACTCTAACCATCATATGCAACCAGAAAGAAGGATAAATATCTGGAGATACATTCTCACTATGTTGCCTTTAGAGGCTGATGCTCGTGATTTTAAGCACTGACCTCGGATCTGTTTTGCAGATTTGGCTTTTACTGACTACCTAAAAGGCCTGTCACCATCGTCTTTAGATATGGAACTGCGAATGCTACAAATAATAGATGATGAAGAGTCTGAAGGTCTGGAGCAAAGACCTGAGCTTCAGTCCATTTCATCGCTGTTGGATTATTTCATTCATGAACTTTCCTTCAGGAATAACTTCGAGTTTGTCCAGGCTGTTCTGAAATTGTTTTTGAAGGTATATAATCTGTGCATTGTTTCGACTGGTTTAAAATTATGTTCAAAGGCATGTGATAAGTACATAACATCTTAACCCATCAAGTTTGTACTTAGAAGTCTATATATTTCTGGGAAGCAGATACATGGTGAAACAATACGACGGCACTCGATGCTTCAGAGTAAGGTCAAGAAGCTTCTTGAGGTCCAGAGCTTAGTTTGGCAGAAGATTGATAAGATCTTTCAGGGTGCACGATGCATGGTTACATTCCTCAGTAACTCGCAATTTTAGTAGCAGGTGATTCCTTGTCACTTGTTTTGTGAAACAAGTTCGCTTCATTTACTGACTGGTTAAATTTTGACCTTCACTTGTAAATTGTAATGCTGCATTTTTTTTGGGAGGAAGGATATTTTCAGAGCTCAACTTACCATTGACATTTTGGTCATCTCATCGAGCTTCTTTATATATTCTTTTGCAGCTTTGTAATCTATTTTCTTTTGTCCCTAAATAGGCTGGAGCTCCACATACCAGGGCATACATGGTGTCTAATACTGCAGGAATTGTGGCCATTGGGTTGAGAAAGTGGGTATAGTTTGAGTTTTGGAGACTGCAGTAAAACCGATTTGGTCGTTCTCAAGCATGGCAGTCCAAGCTGTCCGCACAGATATTAGAGCATCGTTGAGCAGCAGCCATGGCTATACTCTATGCTTACAATTTTGCTGAAGCAGTTACGCAGCAAGGAGTCCACTTGGTAAACATTGATAGCTACCAAAACAGCTCCATCTCATGATGTAACAATTTTGTAGTTTTACGTTTGTGTCATCCTTTTGTAACAAACTGATGTATCAAACACCGTGTTGCAAGAAACGCAGAGGCTTGCCATTGCTATTTGAGCAAAACTCATGTCTGTACATTCAGCCAGCTTAGCTTCTGCGTTGGTCTTATGTCGTGGAGGATATAAAAACGAAGCCTTTCGTCACAAGTAAGTTAGGTAGTCTAAAGTTAAAATTCATCAAGAGCCCAAAGTCATGGTTTATGTATTTCAATAGCGGCTTTTCAAGCACTCATATTCAAATATATATCTCTAGCTATATTCTAAGTTTTTAAATACCTTTTTATTGTCTTCATCCATGTCAATTTTGGTCTTTCTCTATTTCTCATATTATTAGCTTGGCTTATGACTCCACAATGCACCGGTGCCTCTTAGAAGTCTTCTTTGGACATGGTCAAACCACCTCAACCGATGTTGGACAAGCTTTTCTTCAATTGATGCTATCTCTAGACGATCACGTATATCATCGTTCCGAACTTGGTCAATTCTTGTGTGATCACAAATCTATCGCAACATACGCATTTCTATAACACTCAGTTGTTGAACATGTCGAATTTTTGTAGGCCAACATTCTGCTTCATACAACATAGCCGGTCTAATCGCTGTTCTATAAAACTTGCCTTTTAGCTTTTGTGGTATCCACTTGTCACAAAGAATGCCAGAAGCTTGTCGCCACTTGATCCACCTTGCTTTGATTCTATGGATAACGTCCGCATCAATATCTCCATCCCTCTATAGCATCGATCTCCAGATATCGAAAGGTATCCTTCTTAGACACTACTTGACATTCTAAACTCACATCTCCCTCCTCGTGTGCAGCTCCGCCAAAGTCGTATATCATGTATTCGGTTTTAGTTCTGCTCAATCTAAAACATTTAGACTCAAAGGTCTACCATTATAACTCTAGTTTCCTATTTACTCCCGCCTGGTTTTTGTCCACTAACACTACATAATCAGCGAACAACATACACCAAGAGATATCCCCTTGTATGTTCCTGGTAATCTCATCCATTACCAAGGCAAAGAGATACGGGCTTAAAGCCGACCCTTGATAAAGTCCAATTTTAATCGAAAGTACTCTATGTTACCATCGTTTTTTGAACACTAGTCACAACATTGTTGTACATGTCCTTGATGAGGTCACGTACTTTGATGGGACTTTATGTTTGTCCGAAGCCCACCACATAATATTTCTTGGTATCTTGTCATAACCCTTCTCCAAGTCAATGAAAACCATGTAGAGGTCCTTCTTCTGCTCTCTAAACCGCTCCATAACTTGTCTTATTAAGAAGATTGCTTCTATGGTTGACCTTCCGGACATGAAACCAAATTGGTTTGTTGATATCTGCGTCGTTTCTCGCAGGCGCTGCTCGATGACTCTCTCCCATAACTTCATAGTGTGGCTCATCAACTTAATTCCCCGATAATTAGTACAACTTTGGATATTTTCCTTGTTCTTGTAGATTGGTACCAATATGCTTCTTCTTCGCTCCTCAGGCATCTTGTTCGATCGAAAGATATTGTTGAACATCTTATTTAGCCATACTATAGCTATATCCCCGAGATATTTCCACACCTTGATTGGGATACCATCGGGGCCATCGTTTTGCCCCCTTTTATCCTTTTTAAGGATTCTCTGACCTTCGATTCTTTAATCCTCCGCACAAAAGCGCCTATTAGTGTCATCAAACAAGTCGTCCAAGCTGAACGGTTGTGTTCTCGTTCTCACCATTGAACAATTTATCAAAATACTCTTGCCATCTATGTCTGATCTCATCCTCTTTCACCAAGAGCTGCTCCCTCTCATCCTTTATGCACTTGACTTAGTTGAAGTCCCCTATCTTCCTATCATGAGCCCTAGCCATCCTATAATGTTCTTCTCTCCTTGCTTCGTACTCAAACGTTGATAAAGGTCCTCATAGGCCCGCCCCTTTGCCTCACCGCCCGTTTTGCAGTCTTCTTTGTCACCTTGTACCTCTCTATGTTGTCTGCACTCCTGTCATGATACAAGCGCTTATAGCACTCCTTTTCTTTAATAGCCTTTTGCACATCTTCATTCCACCACCAAATGTCTTTCGAGTCGCATCCACTCCCTTTGGTCACTCCAAGCACCTCTGAAGCAACCTTCCAAACGCATGTTGCCATCTTCTCCCACATGCTGTTTGCATCGCCTTCATCCTTCTAAGGGCCCTCTTCAATAACCTTTTCCTTAAAGGCCTTTGATGCCTCTCCTTCTAATTTTCACCACTTCGTTCTAGCAACTCTAGCTTGTTTGTTCCCACGAGCTTGCACCAGAAAGCGGAAGTCAGCCACCACTAGCTTATGTTGAGCGACCACACATTCTCCAGGTATCAGCTTACAGCCCACGCATGTTCATTTATCCCTCCTTGTAAGGACAAAGTCGATTTGACTAGAGTACTGGCCGCTATTAAAGGTCACTAAATGGGATTGTCTCTTACGAAAGAAAGTGTTAGCTATCATTAGATCAAAATCTATGGCGAAGTCTAAGACTTTCTCTCTCTCTCTGGTTCCTACTACCATATCTGAAACCCCCATGAACCGTCTCGAAACCTGCATTTGATGTACCTACATAGCCATTATGATCACCTCCTATAAAGAGGTTCTCGCTACTAGGGACAGCTCTAACCAAGCGATTTAAGTCTTCCTAGAAAAGCTGCTTAGCACTCTCATCATGGTGTCTACTTGGGAGGCATACGCACTAATTACGTTTAAGACCATATCACTAATGACAAGTTTAACTAAAATGATCATATCCCCTTGCCTTCTCACCTCCACCGCACCATCCTTAAGTCTCTTATCAATCAAAACTCCTACTCCATTTTTATTTGAAGTTGTCCTTATATACCAGAGATTGAATCTGGTATTGTCAACCTCTTTCGTCTTCTTCCCTTCCATTTAGTCTCTTAGACGCATAAGATATTTACACGCCTTCTAACCGTTGTGTCCACTAACTATCTTAACTCACTTGTAAGGGACCCTATATTCCAGCTACCTAAACGGATCCTAGTTGGCTCGACTAGCTTACTTACCCTTCGTATCCGCTGAGGTAGGTGTGAAGACCCTTGCTCATTTTGCACCACAGCCGGACGCCGATGTGGCGCGCCACTAAGGATGCGACGACCCGATTCTTGTTCACTTGACACCGTGTCCAGATCACGACACGGCGCGTCACGGGGTGACGACCCGACCCTTGCTCATTTAACACCATACCCGGGTTCCAACATGGCGCGTCGCTAAGAGGGTTACATCCCAACAGGATTCTTTTGTGTTTCATTTCCATAAAAGTGGCTAAGTTTTTATATTAGCTTGTCGCGCCTAACACAACCCTCCTCCTTTACTAGAGTTTGGGACCTACTATGCTGGGACACCAAAGACGCCCTACCATAAGCGGAGTTATGTTGTGAGGATACCAGGTGAAAATATCCAAAATGTACCAAAGTTTGCAAATATATTAGAATCACTGCGTACATTTCTCCCCCAAGAATCTGTGAAAACAATCACCGGTAAGAGCAGTTATTTTGCGCAACAATATAAATGGCAAGAGCAAACTCAGATCGTGTTTGAGATTTTGAGATGCAGGTGTGAACAGTGTGTAGCTTTGTTGCACCTGAATTTTTCTACTCGACTCACAAATCTAATCGACTTTCAGCCTGACTTTTGCGTGGACCTTCTACATAACCTCATATATGCCAGTTTTTGATAATTTTGAAAAGTGCTGTGTAGAGTGTTTGCAACTTAGATGCACCCGTTTCTTAATACCGGGTGTTTAATGAGAATATACAGTCATGAAAAATGCTGAACAATTTTCAGAGCTTCAGGCTGATAATCAGCTGTGCATAAATATGAACCAACATCCAGAAAATGAAAATGTAATGTTGCAAACTTTAACACGGCAGACAATATCATGTGTCATTGGATGAAAATTGTGTTAAGAATTGTATGCCCCCAAACAGCCTAAATTATGGCTTGGGGTTCTCACAGTACATCAGAACAGGTCTTTTTTGTTGCTGATCAAATAGTGACTCTAGAGCCCTCATGTAAGAACACAATCAAATCGATACATTGAAGAATCTGGTCCGAAGTACAAAAAGAATTCCCTCGAGGATGGTCCAGTGTTAATCCTCTGAAGTAAAAATGCATATAGGATCCTGAGGCTCTCTCAAATGTAATATCATTTTTGACCTAGTGTATAGTCACCATGTTTACACGATCTGTATGCCTGTCGTTGCAACACACCATGTGTCGTCATGATGTAAAGCTTCCTCTAACCCTAGCTACGAACTTGTCCATCTGAGAGATCATTCAGACTTACTCTTCAAGGTGTATACATTTCCAACGACTCCAATGACACTAACAACTATTGATAGCCCCAGCAACCCAAGTGACAGGAGCCTCTCCCCATGTCCCAAGAGACTCCCTTCCTTGTCCAGCCTCAATGCCACCAGGGCTGGGAACATGAAACCCAAAGCCAACCCTGTCGTAGCTCCGGTGAACTTGAAGGCCATCCAGATGTTGGGTATCATTGTCGAGCCAAGGTAGATGAGAGCTAGAAGCACCACTGTCAATGTGAGTGTTTTCTTCCTGCTAGGGGTCGCCAGCTCCCCGAAGATCAGTGTGTCCACTGTCTGCCTGAGCGAGAAGTGGACAACTGGGAAGACGAGGACCAGGTGGATGACATACCCAATCCTGACAATGTAGTTGAGCAAAGAGCTGAATCTGATCCCGAGATCCTTGTCGAAGTTGGTGAGCACATCGGACTCGGTGTCCTCACCGAACAAGAGATACCCTGAGAGGGCAGTCAGGGCATACACCACTACACATAGCACAGTGCTGATCCTCCCAACCTTGTACATGTTCTGCGGCGTCTTCTCCTTGAGTTCATTGTAGATTGGCTGGACATTGAAATGACAGATGAAGGCATTAGTCATGATGGGTATCACGACGAGCAGGTCTAGCATTGCTGCTCGGGAGCTGAAATCTGGCCCCATCCTCGGCATACTGATCTTGCCCTCGGCGATTTTGATCAAAGCAATGATGCAGGACACAACCACAAACACAACAGCAAGGGCAACTGACGCAGCAGATGACAAGCTCAGTGAGTCAATCTTCTCAAGCGCACACAATGGCGCAAGGAAGATGACAAGAACCACCAAGATCAGCAGCTTCCGGTTATCCCACTCGCCATGGCCAATCAGCTGATCCATGACGCCGATGTGCTTCAGTGATCCTGACATCACGTCTCCAATGATAATCAGATACACCACCAGGACTCCTGCGTTGTTGATGATGACGCACATCTGCGCCACGACGCTCGCCGGGCGGCCCATCGCCCTGTGCACGACCTCGCCGTACGACAGCGCGCGACAGTAGGCCGAGAACCTCACGAGCAGCTCGACAGTGATCTCGGACAGGACCCCCATGACCAGGATCGAGACGAACCCAGCGGCGACTCCGAGCACCTTCATGGTGGCCGGGAGCGCCATAATGCCGGCCCCGATGATGGAGGTTGCGAGGTTGAACACGGCGGCGGGCACGCCGGACCCCTCTGGCGGCCCGGCGGGGCCGTCGCCGATCAGCGGCAGCTCGTCGTGCTCCCCGCCGCCGCCGACTCCGTCCTCCACCTCGCCCAAGAACGAATCTTGCTTGGAGATCTTAGCGTGGCCGTTGACGATGCCATTGGCGGCGGCGTTAGATTTGGCTTGGAGCTCGATGGAGGGGGAGGTCAATGGGAGCGCCGAGTAATTCGTGTTCATCTCCCCTCTTGGCGCATCAAAGATGGATCAGAGAGCCAAGAGGGAGATGGAAAATTCTTGGCAAGACCGGATACAGGAACAAATTGCGCCGAGAATAGAATCCGAATGCCTGAATCACCCACGGAGGGAAGGAAATTCGCGCCCAATCTACAACTAAGAACACAAAATTGCTTGCTGTAGAAAGGGGAGGAAAGAGTGCCTATCTAGCAGGGAGGGGGTTGGAAACCAATACAAAAAATATTCCCTGCGGAGGAGATTGGGGGATGCAACGGTGGAAGAGATGAATCTTGGTGAGCATCGAGGGCTTTGGGAGTTGGGGAGCAACAAGCGGGGTGGACTGAGAGGGAGGATTGGGGCGTTGAACTGCGGCGAGAGATCGAGCTTTATCCCTCTTGCATATTTGTAATTTTTTACTTCTGCCACTCCTTCCGTGTTCTTCCTTCTCTCGGATGAAGAGTAGGAGTACTCTTAACAAAGAGAGCACAGTCAATTCACGTTAATTTCTAAGTACGGATGGCTACACCAACCGTGTGACTCCCGTGTTCTTCGTAGATGCTTATGACGTGTGGGTCCAAACAGAAGCGGGGCCATGTGACAGTGAGGGGGTACTCTAGTGATTCGTAAGAATTGTCTGTGTTGGGCCCACGCGTTCGGCCACATGGGCATGCGACGCGCGGATACAGCTCTTCGATCTGATTGGCCAGCAACCTTAGGTCGGTGCGGGACCCAGTTGCTGGCTAGTTGCGCCACCTACTACAATCTGCCCCACCTGTCGGTGAGCAAAAATATCTTTCCTCCTGAAATATGTAATTTTCGTATAAACTTTTCGAAAATAAATTGAATTCATTTTTTTTGTTTCCATGTTGTTTTAGTTTTTACTTGAACATTATTTTCCCTGGAATACGGTTAACAAAAGTGAGTATTTAGGTTGTCTTGAAACCTTCAAGTCTTCCATTGAAATGAATATCTTCCTTTGACCCGGTACAGCTCGAAGTTTCTTCGCACACAAAATATCAATTAGCTTTGTCTTGTTTGAATACAAGTACAAAGCATGTGATAGATCACTGACAATATCAAGTTGTGATGTGGAAACTGTACGTGTAGATTCATCTCGATTTTTTTATAAGAAAGCTTTTATATTATATTTTATAGATTCAGACATAATCTTCATTTACTCCCTCCGATAAAAGTTGTCATTCTATAAAATTTCAGAAATATTAGCAAATGCTAGCGTGGAACTCAAATGACCAAAGCGTCTCTATTTAGAGTTCATTTGAACGCAGGAATTTCACAGGAATTATATATAAATTTTACATAAATTAGTTCAATTACGTAGGAATAGAAAAATTTTCCCACGTTCTAAACAGACCCAATAGACATCTCCTATAAAAAGATTAGTTGTTATGGGTAATTGGCTCAGTAATTGTCCATACATATATAATTAAGGCAAATAGATAAAAGATGAGCCTTTGATTTGATATACATGGACCTCACTAGTAGCTGTCTAAAGTCTACAATGACAAGTTTTGTTGACCAAATTTTGAATACTACAATGATCAGTTTTTTTTATAACGTCACGGGCCACCTGTATATATTTCAGCTTGGCCCCAACGGCCTGAAATCACAGGAGTTTCATTTTACATCATAGTTGAGCTTAATTGCTCAGAGACTTAAAACTTATTACATATTAGATTGATTAGCACCGGAGCCATGGTTCATGATTGTTGTAAACAGTGAACACCAGACGTTAGCTGTGCTTCTTGTCTCCACCGGCAGCCTGCAGTTCCAAAGTTGCGCTTCATTGCTGCATAAACTCAGGAAGCGAATCATTGTCATCGCTTCCCTTTGGAATACAAGTTCATTCCTTCTCTTCCATAAGAGCCAGCAACATAAGGTGACAAAGCCATCAAAGTGTGCTGCTTGAATGTTTTCAGGGCATGCAAGCATGTCAATATCCTCCACAGAGTTGATGTTGTTTGTCTGCACCTGGAGCAACTCCCAGAAGACCTTTGCAAAGGGGCACCCAAACATGATGTGCCATGACGTTTCGATCTCTTGTGAGCAGACTTCACATGTATCATTGCCAGTTACCTTTTTCTTGAATAAATTCTCTTTGGCCTGAATTCTGTTGTTGAGCAAGAGCCAAGCGAAGAATTGTACTCTGGGCGGGGCAGGCTTCCCCAAATAAATTTGGATCAGTTTTTTTTAGGACAAAGGATGTAAATAAATGTTGAAGCTTGTATTTAAGGAATATTTCCAAATATCACTTCCCAGGAGGTGTTCACGAATTTATTCTCCAAGCACTGAAGTGTGTGGTTCTTGAACAAAAAAGGAAAATTATCAAGAGCCAAGACATCCTAACATCAGATGATTTTCTTTGGGCCTCTGAGTTTCTTGATCTGCAATAAAAGAACGGGTGCCTTTGTTTTCTGAGCACTCTAGCCCACGCTTCCTGAGATTTGTTTGGCAAAGATGATGATAAAGAATTCAAGTCATCCTAACAATTAAACAATTCTCCTCTTGACTTCTGAGTTGCCTTGATTGGTACTAAAAGTCAAGTGCTTTTTCCTCTCAACCTCCAGCAGATTGTTTGTCACACCAGAGCAATAGTACTTCGAGAAAAAGTTGCTCGCACACCTACATTTCAAGATTACTGCATCATTCTTGTTATAGACATTTCAAGCAAAGCTCACTGTCTCAAACGTGTTTCCTTTACTAATACTGAGAAACCTTCTACCTTCATAATCATCCTATATAATTAGCGCCGGAGAATGATCATCTCAACCTGCTTTACAAGGAGCCTCTGCTGTAGGATCCATGGGATAGTTAATACATAGTGTTGGTCAGTTGCCACTGCGCCTCCAAAATTGCGCTTTTTCTACATCAGACATAATTATTGGAGGGACATAATGTAGCATAAGCTGGGAAATCATGTAGCTCATCCTGATCGGGAATGATGGAAATCTGCGCTTCTTTTGGAAGCGAGTCATCCTCCATACTGGATTCTGTTTTAGCAGGCAACTCATTGCAGTGGATGGAGAGGGTTCGTTTTTCTTGCTGGAACAAACTGCAAGCAGAACAAAGATAGTGAGCTTAGTTACTGCAAAGATAGAGATTACTAGGTGAATGCTAGCACTTACGGGTTTTTGCAAAGCATCGGACTCTGAATTGTTACAACATATTTGCAGGAAGAGATCTCCTTGACTGAACTAATCGGTACAGTAGGCCCCGAGCAGACAAATCTAACCTGTGGAACAAAGGCAGGGTGTGCACAGTCAAATGCACTGATATGGCAAGTATGTGCTTTACTTAATAGATTTATATGGTCTTCTATTGTTTCTTTCTCACCTCTGTCTCCCGGGGAATTTCTGTGAGATCACATACAGTCCCATTTGTATTCAAGTGAACATGATACCTGAAACAAAGCGGGAATAGAAGATATTCATAAATTCATTCAAGACTGAGGAACATATTATGTTGTTTCTCTCCCCACTTTCAGGAGAGCTTAGTACAGCACCTCTTAGATATATCTTTCACGTGATGAACATCGTCAGCTAACTCAGAGGTGCTATTTTCATGGTATGCAGCAGTGGCGTCATCATCGAATTCGCCTAGAACAAATTCTTGAATAGCCTTCAACAAAATAAACACAGTTTACACAGCCATGCTGTAGCTCTAGCAACTTTTGATTGCATATGTCGCAATGTCAATAAAACTGAAGCTACAGTTACTATTATTCAAAGTAAAGGCAAGGTATATTATTTTCTCCACATTGAAACTAAGTACTGAGCTTGCTTCTCCATTTGAAGCTAGCAATTCTTGCACTGGAACATCCCGAGATTTTTTTGAGGTGATGGATAGACAGAATAACAAAAAAATGTAATATGTAGTGCAAACCTAAAGGTATGTGCAAACATGCAAACTTTTTCAAAAAGCATACTTGTGTGATTTGAAATTTTTTAAAACAATGCACATCCATAGTGCATCCATATATATACTTTGTTCCTGAAGTTGAGATTCAAACTCAATGTAGAAAAAATCATGCAAAAATAATAAAATTAGAGTCCATGTGCACTAGAAGACGAAATTCCTGGGAATTTGTCTTGTAGTGCATATGCACCTAATTTTGTCTTTTTTGCGTGATTTTTTCTGGATTGAGTTTGAATCTCAACTTTCTCAAGAGAGTACACATATAGATAAACTATGGATATGCATTGTTTCAAAATTTTCTAGATCATGAAAGTATGTTTTTTTAAAAACGTTTACAGGTTTGCACTACATATTTTGCCAAAAAAATGTTATGATTACAGGGCTGGGCAAAAAGACAAGATTATTGAAAACAAAGTCTTACCTTGTCATTGTCTACATGGACCTGTCTCATTTTCCCATGATAACAGAATTCATAGGACCACCAACCTTCATGCTGTGCCGAAATAAAAAATAATCAATTTTTTTAGGCATTGCCTACCAGGAAATATACACACGACTGAAAATACACTGTGCATGCTCATGCATAAGAAAGAACTGCAACTGCATGCTCACCCTGTAGAAACACTGATCCTTGAGAATCTCAAGTAATTCATCTGGCTCCTTTGGCTTAATTTTCCTTTCACTTTCTATTAAAGAATTAGTTGCATTTTGTGGGAGCATTGACTTCATGGTTTTGGTGTCTTCAACTGGTAGAAAGCACTTATAATGTTTCCCCTCATGGTTAGCCATTGGTACCGATTCCTGACCATTCTCCTGTTGAATACAACATAATCATCTCTAGTTACGATAAAAGGCATTAGGTTTGAATTATGCCAAGCAATAATCTCCAGAGAAAAATGTGAAATGGAAAATTCAAATATGGTTTCTCTGAAAGCATGAAATTCACATGAGTAAGCATAAACATGTAAGTTTCATTGCCTGATTTATAGTTGCCCATCTTTCGCAGCCAATTACCAACTGTAGTGAAGTAAAAAATGATTTATATTGATATATATGAGCATTCAAAAATTGCCGGTAAACTTTAAGTAGTTTTAATTACAGTTCACTAGAACCTAAAACCCATACAGCCAGTCCCCCACACGTAATTAGCGACGGAATTAAGTAAGAACAAACCAAAGCTCTTGCTTTGTTACAAACAAGGATCAGAAGGACAAACCCGTTAGAAATCCTACCGGATGGAACGGTGAATCAATAGGGTGGAATTCGACGCGGTACCTTGGCTCACGCGAACTCCGCCCAAATGGCACACCTGACGATCAACACCCAGTTAAGCTCGACTCCAGCGCATACCAGTGTTGAACAAAAGGAAACCGAAGCGCAAGCAAGACTACCAATCCAGCCCTCGATCCATATGCGCAGTTATTTAAAGGCAGAGTCTTTTCAACTACACTACTACAGGGCGTTATATCCCCCCCCCCCCCCCACCCAGTATATGGGTACTCCACTAGGTTACCGCCAACATCGATCTACAGCATTTTGATTCGACAAGACATCAATAGACATCGACGAAGCCGTAGATTCATTGGGTTTTGGGAGGAAACGCGGAGGGCGGGGGACCTCAATGGCGCCGGTGAGATCCAGCGCGGCCCCGCGGCGCTCACCTGAACTGGTGAAGATCTGGTCGGTTGCTACAGCGGCGGCGACCAGGAGGAAGAGCAGCGCGGACACCCGACCAGCGAAGCCGCCCATCGGAGACCGCAGGTGGGTCTTTCCACCTCGCTTCGACACCCCTTCCGTGACTTCTCGTCAGTGTCAGCCGTCAGGTGAAGTTGAGCCCCGATGTCCGGACTCCGGAGATCGGTGTGGCCGCGCGGCCGTGCGCCGAACCGAACGAAAACATACATAGGGCAGTCCCAACGAACAGTAGTTTCTATAACCGCACAAAAAAAATATTGCTTTCTAAACCATGATTTTTATGAGTAATAATTATTTTCTTTTTCTCTCTCCTAACTCTATATTCTTTCTCCAATGAAAGTGCGACATGAGCTTCCTAGAAACTAGTGGTTTCTCCCTAATAACGATTTCATGGTTTCTTGGTGCATTGGGTCAAGAGTAGACCTGATTTCTTCATGAGGAAACTATTTCTATGATTTTTGCTCTCTTTCTTCATTAATTACGTTCTTTATGTTAGCGTTTTTACTTACGATAAAGTCGTTTAATGATAATGAAATATCATCAAAACCATTGAGACTATCAATACATCATTGAGACTGCCCTTAAGTCTTTTTTTTGTTTTTGAGCATTAACAGAAATCTGGTCTGAAGAAACGCGTCTGTTTTCCATTACACCCGAATGTTCTCTTTCTATATTTATATCTGAACAACCACCAGATAATTTGATCTATTTTGGTGGTAAAAGAGTTTTGTGAATAAGTTTTACTTAGCAAATGTATCCATTCGTTTACAATTTTGTTACAGTGCTTATACAAGCTGTCAATAATAATGAGCTAACTATTTTTCTTGGATTTAAATAGGCTTAATCCAACCTTAAATCAAAATATAATTCAAGGCCCGTATAAAAGTCAGTACAATAAAGGATTAATCACGTATATAAAATTGATCGGAGATTGGTTCAATTTAAATAGATGGATATAATCTGTTCGCTTGAACTTATTAGTCTAATTTATCATCATGCTACAGTATTTTTTTTCGCAACAAATGGACCCACCGTAGCTTTTCAGCAAAACAAACGGCGCCAGCCGAAAGGTGAGTCACGTAACATCATGACCACACACGTGCTACAACATGAACAGGCTCCAACGGTCAGGCAAGCGATGAACTGTACAGCATCAATAAAGATTTTTGCAGCTTCAACTCAAATCAGAACAAGTGAGAGCAAGGAATGCTAGATCGAAGGAAGATGGGTGGGTGAGTGATACTTAGAATAACAAGCAATTTTTTACAATCTAACCGTGAAGGAGATAACAGATAAAATGGGACTTGTGGCCTTGAGACGCAACCTACAAGGATGACTGTACAAAAACCTTTTTTTTCTTTTACTAATATACAAAGATGTACCGCTATTTTTTCTTTGATTTTTGCTGATAAAACAAAGATGTACCACCTTTCCTGTATATATGTGAGAAAACTTAGTGAAGGTCAAGCTCGAGCGCGCGGCAGTTGAGTCCGTGACTTAAAACTCCATCTGTGGTGGTGGAAGTATGAGCTAGAACAAAACTTGACTGCAAATTTATTACCGATCCCAGAATTACAATGTATCCTGTAATGTATAAACCAGCCCTGAGTGGCGAGGAATCATCGATTCTGCTCTAGATTAGCACAGCGTGACACAATGATTAGCTCCGACGAGAGCAGTAGTGTATCTTCCTCCTCCCTAACCCCTGAACTAACTAACCTTGCACGGAGTCATGTGCTAATTCTGCACCGAGCTGCGTCCATGCAGTTCTGCTAGCTGTTCTTCAAGTTGTGGTTGTTTAGCAGGTCACCGGTGGTGTCGTGAGCCAAGCCAAGCCAGGGTACCAGACCGCCTCCCTTCCGGCGCGGCGCCGCGTGGTGGCGCTCACAAAACCGGCCGCAACCCCTGGGCGTCCCGATCCATCGCCCGCTGAACAAATGCAGCGTGCGGAGCAGTGGCGCGAACCACCCGCCGCGCAGCAAAACAAATCGGCGTGTCCCGTCCCGCGAGTGGCCGTCGCGGGGGTTGCTCGCCGCGCGTGCTGCCATGCTCGTGCGCGGGGTTATTATAAGCCGGCCGATCGAGCTAGCGCTCCGGATCGACGTGGATTTAATTCCCAGCACTGGAGACTGGACGGCGAGCAATCATTCCATGTCACGGCTACCGCACGTCTGGAAGAAGGCGGTGATGAGGGAGCCGCCGGCGACGACGCTCTCCGCGGCGGCGCAGGAGAGGGCGACGGCGACGGTCCAGTCGAGCAATGCAGTCAAGAAGCCGCCGCCGCGGGAGCTGAGGCGCCTCGCACCAATCAGCGGCGGCGGCGGCGACAGAGCGGACAGGAGGAGGAGTAACGGCGCCAGCGCCACGGCGGGCACGGAGCTCGCGGAGCGCGCGGCGAAGGCGTGGATGCGGCATGCGCTGGCGAAGCGGGTCGCCACGCGCTTGCTGAAGCGGAGCACGGCGCCGCCGGCGGCGGCAGTGGCGGACGAGGGGAGCAGCCCGAAGAAGGTCATCGCGTGCTGCTGCGCGAGGCTCCCGCCTGGCCTGCGCTGCGCGCTGCACCAGTACGGCGCGCCGGGCCGGGCCTGGATGCGCGCGCAGCGCCGCGGCTGCAACGGCGGAGCGGCCGTCGCGCCGCCCAAGGCGCACGGGTGGGCGTTCAGCGAGTACGCGCGGTGGCGCAGGCACGTGTGGATGCCCAGCCGGTTCTACTTGGAGCGCGTCGAGGCCGAGGAGCACCGTGCAGCGGCAGAGCGGCTTCGTCTCGTGAGACGCCTGTAGATTTTTAGTAGTGCTCTGTGTTTTGTTTTTTTAGAGACGATCAGAACTCCGAAACGCGTACCACAAATGGACGTGAATATGTGAGCGATAGAGGCAAAGGACTATGCGGTTGTGTTTCAAAGTTTCAACTGTGCATATGCTACATCACCACATGATACGGGCGTAAATCCGTGAATTTGGTTGTTTGGTCCACGGTACGGAGGCAAAGTGGCATACCCTCCTCTTAATGAAAAAATTGCTCAGGAATGGGGGCAAAAAATACAGATGTAAACACATTCTTATCCAGCGAGAGTGCGAGATAATCAGACAAGGCGATGTGAAGAATACGGACTAAATGGACCCGCATTCTTATCCAGCCCAAACATTGTCGGCCCATTGGGAGTTCCAAGCCACCAAATTACGGCACGGGCCTAGTGTAAGAAGTGGGGCCCACCCCGCAGAGACGGAAGACCGAGGGCAAAAGAGGAACGAACTTGCGCCGAGTGAGGGTGGGACTAAACCCTAGTGGGCTGCGGCCTCGTATATAAACGCGCACCGCTCATCCGTCGCCCCTCTGAAGTTTCGGCGGCGGCGTGCTCGTGATCTCAACCCCAGCCCCCAGGCGAGCTCGGCTCCGGTCACCCGTCGTTCCACGCAACCATGGTAAGCGAGCCTCTTCTCGTCTGGTTAAGGTTTGTCCGCCGATCTAGGCGCAAGCTCGGTAGCGGTGGGGGTTCCTGAGAGCGTAGATTTGCGTGGAAAATTTGTTGATTGGAGCTTATGCTCTGTGGGCTGCTACATCGCAATCGAGATTTGTCCTTCGCTGAATTAGTTGAATGTACTCGTACTGCTTAGTTGAAGACTGAAGTGATGTGCTGGGGTAATTTTGATGCGAATCTAATCACGATGTGTCAGTCTTCTATTCTAGGTGAAGATGTTTAGATGTCAAATGCAATATTTGAGATGTGCTGTTAAAACTGTGGAAGTATTGATATGAGTAAACACTACTACTTTCGAACTTGAGTTAGAGATGCTGATTACCTACTATTTGCGAACTAAAGGGTTAGAGATGCTGATTACCTGGGGTTTTGCTCGGGGTTGAATCATTTATGAAGCTGGCATATGTTTTGCGATGATGGTTGTTCTCAATACATCCTGATGCTAGTCTTGTTTTAGTTCTTGAAATGATTGACTTGATTAGTATACTGAGACTGATTTGCTGTTGAATTGCTTCTATAAGTTTTCCTTCAAAACAATTTCCAGCTAACTTTTTCTTAGTGTAAATCCACTGGCAGGCTATCTGTATTGTACTCAATTAGTATGGCATTTTGATCCTGTTAGTCTCTTAAAATCACATGTGTTGAAGTATATCAACTCAGGTTCACTTGTTGTGCACGGTGAAATTGTTTCTGGTGGTTGTTAACACGACAGTAGGTTCAATTTCATCTGATAGTAGTATATGTTTGCAGTCGAGGAGGAAGACCAGGGAGCCGAAGGAGGAGAACGTTACCCTTGGACCCACTGTCCGTGAAGGAGAGTTTGTCTTTGGTGTTGCTCACATCTTTGCATCCTTCAATGACACCTTCATTGTAAGTGCTATATGTTTTTTTACCTGTGGATGAAGCTTTTCATTCCCTTCCCCTGTTTAACTGTGATATTGTGATATGCAGCATGTAACTGATTTGTCTGGGAGGGAAACTCTGGTTAGGATCACTGGTACCATCCTAAAACCTGGGTCCATACTCCATACTTGACCTTGATGGCAATTGTATTTAGCTTTAACCATGGTGTGCTAAACTATGTAGGTGGCATGAAGGTCAAGGCTGATCGCGATGAGTCGTCCCCTTATGCTGCTATGCTTGCTGCTCAAGATGTTGCACAGCGTTGCAAGGTATTGGTTCATCTGTGTATCTGGAGATGATGTTTGCTTAATTAAATTGAACCTTAGGATTATGTTGGGCTGCTTAGATTGCTGTGGCCAGATAAGTAATTTGTCAGTTGGGTCTCTTGTCTTCAGGAGCTTGGTATCACTGCGCTGCACATTAAGCTTCGTGCCACTGGAGGCAACAAGACCAAGACCCCTGGACCTGGTGCTCAGTCTGCTCTCAGGGCTCTTGCTCGTTCTGGGATGAAAATTGGACGCATTGGTAAGAAATCTGAATCTTGAAGTTGCACCAATTATCAAATGCTTTATTGTTTCTGTATGTTAATGGGAACTTTTTTGTTATACGCAGAGGATGTTACCCCGGTTCCCACTGACAGCACTCGCAGAAAGGGTGGTAGGAGGGGAAGGAGGCTGTAGGCGTATTCTCCTTGCTATCTGCCATCTCTTGGCACTGGCCTCTGGGTAGTGTTGCTGTTTCTATGCTTGTCAAGAGGAGCTTTAATTTTGCTCTATGTTGATTTACTGTTAGTCGAATCTATAATGTGCATGGATAATGTTTTGGTTGAGGAATTGACATTTATGCTAAAAATGCATTTTCACTCTACTATAGGACGGGGCATTGGATTAATGCCCCTGTTTTGATGAGGTGCCGCTGATTTTTGCTGTCTTCTGTTCAGAACCTGCTTTCTGATTACGAGTTTCAGCGTGTCAGGTTATGATAGTGTGTTCTTGTGTCGAGAATTAGTTTCTAAAGGTGTGGATGTTTGCCTGCCTGCTATTTGCCACAGGCAGAGGTAGATACTAGTGCTACGTAGACCGTAGTACAATCAGACGCAATGGTGCATGTATTTATTATTCCACAAATAGACGTAGCAGATCGTCTCAGCCTCAGGCAGCAAGCATGTTGTAACAGCCGGCACGATGGCACGCTGGCGCCCCGCCTCCTGGTGTTGCTGGCGACCTGGCTGAAAGGATAAGATCAATAGACAAACTGACACTCTCGAGGCTTGGCCTCGATCTCCTACTCGCGAGCTTGGTTCCGAGTTGACTGCCACAAGAACCACAACGGAACCGACTCGCTGACGAACAGCGATCCGCGAAAAGGAAAGACGTCGCGTGGGGGAACCTCGGAACCGGCTCGGGTTAGGTCGAAAACCCTGAATGCGATTTGGAATCAGAACAATGCAGTTGATCTAGGTTCACAGGCAAATCGAATTTGGAGCATTGATCTGGTCTAACCAAGATGAGGGAGGTAGGGCTAGGGCACACTGCGCTTGATGACCAGCAGGATGACTGGAGGCGCGCGGTGAGGCTTGGCGGCGGGCTCGGCTTTAGGCGGCGCTTGATGGCGAGAGAGGGCTGCAAGCGGGCAAGGGAGGCGTGATGGCGTGTGTGGCTGGGGCGCAAGGAGCTTCATTGCTGGGCTAGGCTGCTGGCGGCGTGGCGTGCTTGGCGGCGTTAGCTGGTGAGTGGTGGCAGCGCGACTGGCGGCGGCGGTAAGGGCTAAGGCTAGGTCACGGGAAACAAATCAAGGCGGCGGTTATATGAGGGTCCCAAACGCGACGAGAGAAGGAAACGGAGAAAAGAGACACAAGCCGCATGAGATCCATCGGCCGGACGCTTTCCGGTGGTAGTAGCGACCGGACGCTACCACCCAGCGTCCGGTCGATTCGAAGAGAGGTCCAATTCCTCTCGAATCGGGACCGGACGTGTCCGGTGGTCCATGATCGGACCTTGAGCGAGTGGTCCGTCGGCCGCCAATTTTGTTCTTCCTTCGATCGACCGGACGCTGGATCCCCTCCTGACCGGACGCACAGACGCAGCGTCCGGTCACTCCTTCACCAGCAGTTCACCTCCTGTGAACTGACCGGACGCTAGACAGCAACGTCCGGTGCACTTTTACCAGCAAAACTTCAAACTTCCTTCGCTCTGCCTGTTCCCAATCAAGTCCCAACATGAATAAGATACAAATAAACACCAATTGGTACTGATGTGAGTGACATTTCTCAAACCCTCATATTTTTCAAAATATTTTGCCTTAGGCTATAATTCTTTTTAAGAAAATAGACAACAAGAGGGCAAATGGAACAAAACGACAAAATAACATTCATGCATATGCAATACTTGTAAATAAATCTAGTTGCTTGTCAAGTTTGATCCAATGTTAAGCTTCTTCACACGCTTTGCGGCGGTTATCTTAACCATGTTAGACAAGCCCTATATGCATTGCCACAAATTAAGCATGTTGTATATTACAATGAATGCAAGGGACAACACAAGCTCAATTTTTAGTGAAATTACAAAAATCAAGTACATTGAGTTCATTTCGCAATCTACAAAAAGTAGCATCATCTAGCGGTTTAGTGAAGATATCCGCTAATTGATCTTTGGATCTTACACATTCTAGTGATATATCATTTTTAGCAACATGATCTCTTAGAAAGTGATGGTGGATATCTATGTGCTTGGTGCGAGAGTGTTGAACCGGATTATTTGCAAGTTTTACCGCACTTTCATTGTCGCACAAAAGAGGTACCTTCTCTAGAACTACTCCATAGTCTAGCAAAGTTTGTTTCATGTATAATATTTGTGCACAATAAGCACCCGCGGCAATGTATTCCGCTTCGGCGGTGGACAAAGCCACACTATTTTGTTTCTTGGAGAACCAAGACACAAGCGATCTACCAAGCAAATGGCACCCTCCGGATGTGCTCTTTCTATCAACTTTGCATCCGGCGTAATCCGAATCGGAATAGCCAATTAATTCAAATAAAGCTCCTTTAGGATACCAAAGGCCAATGCTTGGTGTGTGCTTAAGATACATAAGGATTCTTTTTACGGCAATTAAATGTGTTTCCTTAGGACTAGCTTGAAATCTAGCATACATACACACACTAAACATGATGTCGGGCCTAGATGCGGTTAAATATAACAAGCTACCAATCATAGAACGGTAGAGAGTTTGATCAACCGGGTTACCTCCCTCATCTAGGTTGAGATGTCCATTAGTAGGCATTGGGGTCTTGATTGGCTTACATTCATCCATCTTGAATCTCTTGAGAATATCTTTAGTGTATTTCTCTTGAGAGATGAAGATGCCTTCTTTCATTTGCTTGACTTGAAAACCAAGAAAGAA